CCCCCCTCCCCTGCTGCAGCCTGGCTGTGAGATGAACAAAAAGCCACCACCACACCGTGAGCTGGGACAGAACCCCSTGTCCTTCCAGCCTGGGGTGTGGTGCTCCAGAATTAGACCCGTCCTGGATGGGAAATGGGAGCAGATCCCCGGGAAAGCGCCTCCACTCTCAGCTGGGCTCCCATGTGGATGGATACCTGTGGCCTGGACTCACCACACAACATCAAAATGGGAAGAAACAGGGTTTTTTCTCTAATCATCCCTCTACACCCCAAAACGTGATCACTGCCAGCACTCAGCTCCCTCCAGCCCTACCCAACCCAGCGCCAACGCGGGAAAATCAACCTTAACTTCATAATTGCCATCAGCATCGCAGCGCCGACGGCCCCTCGGGCTGGAGCCCGTACCAGCTCCATGCTTAATTAACAAATGATTATTCTGGCTTTCCAAAAGGTGCCAGGCAAACATCCACAGAGCTCAGGGCTGCACTGGCAGCTCAGCAACTGTGGCAGCTTTGCCTTCTCACCGTGGCCACAGGCAAGAGAATCAAGTCCTGCTAATAATTTAAAAGCATCAATTAATAGAGTGTAATAAATACATAAAATGATCGAGCCTCTTTTTTCCCATCCGCTTTTTAGCATCAATCAAAGTTAAGGGTGATTGTCCCGTGARTAACTAAGGCAAATTTGTTTGTGTACATGTGTGTTTCTCTCTCTACTTTTTTGTTTTGATTTTTTTTCCATTGTTTTGTACATAAAGCAATCACATAAAAATAGTTATAAATAGAAAAATTGCAAAGGTTTATCCCCACTTAGACATATAGGAAAAAAAAAAAAAGAACCCAACCGACCTAACAAACAAACCGAGACAGAAAAAACACCTTGCTTCAAGTCCTTGCAGATCATACAGTACTCAGCATCTTTGGATATTTTACAATGACTCCAAATCGTAGACAAAAAAAAACATCTGAAGGAACCAATCATCTGCAAAACGTTGCTTGTGTAAGAAGTTGATGTGGATTAAAAAGAAAATGTTTGATGCAGTTTTAAGAAGATTCCTTCTTCTTCTTTCCTTTTTTTTCCCCTCTCCATTGAYTTTTGTTGCACGTGGAGTCTTTACGGGTTTCTTTTTGGAGGAGGAAGTCGAGTGCTGGGCAGTTTCTTGGGATCATTCTGCTGCAGGTAGCGTCAGAGCAGAAGTCCCTCACACCCTCGTGGGGGCTGTGGAACCCTTGACTCCACACATCCCCCTCCTTGCCTCCAGTGGGGAGATTCTCATCCAGCCGCCGCTTCATCGATGGAAAAACCAAAAAACCTGCAATCCTCCCRTTCCCTTTGATTTTGCTGCCGTTGAAAGGTCACAGTAAAAAAGAGAAATAAACCTCCCTAATTTGCATCATTTGCATTTCCAAGCGCTGGTTTSGTGTAAAACATCCACTGCAATCCAGCTCAGCCAGTGGCAGAATTGGGGTCCCACCACATCTGCCTCGTGGAGGAGCCACGAGAGGCAGATGGCCACCAAAAACCTTGATCCTTCAGAGTAGCTCAGGAGTTTCGGGCTGAAGGACTCAGACAGGGCAATTCCAGCCAATCTGCCACTTATTTTGCCCCAAGAGAATTACCAGATGGGGTGGACCCAATGGGGTCTGCAGGGATCTGGGGAGTCACCCCAAGCCATGGGCAACCTTCAGCCTGGAGCACYCTGTCATACATCACCACCCTCATTTCTGAACTAACAAGAAGTGAAGAAATAGCATTTCTGCTTGCTTGAGAGTAGACAGTATCACCATCAGGGCAACTGCAGTGATCTTCTTTTCCACAAACACCCCTTGAGACAAGTAGCAGGGATGTTTGCACACCTGATTTTTTCCCATCAACACGGCAGATTTGGGGACATGCGAGTGTTTTGCAAATTTTTCTCATCACTATCACATAGGAATTTGAGGGAATGGAGGACAGAACCCCAGACATTTCAGAATGGTCAGCGGCGGTGAATTCTGACTCTTTGGTTTGAAACGACTTTTTCATTTCAAAATTCCCACGTGGTTCATTTTTTCAAAGCAAGGGTTTAATAAAGCTCAGTATTGAAACATTTCTGATTCTTCCAAAACTTTTCCTTCACCTTTTCAAGCAACTGAAGTTAAAATACTCAAAATAGGCTTTGGTTCTCCTTTTGAAACTTTGAAATAGCTAAAGAACCAAAATAAGTAAAATCCCCCTTTTCCACCCAGCTTTGCGCTGGGTGTTTTTCTATCTCCATTTTTTTTTTTTTTTTAAATGTTTTTAAGGTCCCAACTCATGCTGCAGATCAGGGCTTTTACCAACCCTGTAAATCTGACACACTGCTGAGAAAGGCAATGGCCAGGATACTCCCTCTCCCAGCAAGGCTGCTAGATCTCCCCTTTATCCCTTGTAGAATAAATAYTTTTGCCAGACATGGGAATTAATTAAAAGTAAAAAACAAAACCAGAAACAAAACAGAAAAGTCCTTTTGGCCAAAAGGGCCAAGGAACGCAACGTAACAAACCCAAGTCTGGACGGCTTGTCGGTGTCCAGTGAGCTCCGTGGGTGGGAAATGAGGAACATTTCTCACAGAAAAGCCATCTCGTGGTGGTGGCCGAGCCCTGGACTAAGGCAAGTGACATTTTTGGGAGCATTGAAGAGAGCAGCAGTCCTGGCCTGGCCTTCCCAAACAGCCACGAGCGGTGGGATGGGACAGCGAGTGCCCGACAGCCCCAAAGCCAAGTGCGGAGTCTAAAGTGCCAATGGCCATGGGGCACAGCACCTGCCCCTTCCCCGCTCACCCCAGGGGTGCCCCCAYGGCTGTGAGGGGACGAGGAGCTTCTTGGGAAGCTGATGACACAGAAGGGCAGGCAGGGCCCTTCCCAGCGGGAGCTGGCTGCCTTGTTGGGACGGAAGCAGACGCATGGTGGGACCGTGGTGGGTTTAGTTGCTGGCCTCCGAGATGGGAGCCACGTGGCCGAGCCCCGCCAAGCCGCTGAAACCCGCGCTCCACGGGTCGGGCAGCGGGAAGAAGGGCTGGGCAGCGAGGTTTTCATTGTGGCCCAGAGCGAAGGCGAAGATGCCCGCGTTCCTCTCCATGTCCATCTGCGCCCGCCTGAGCAGCTTCATCTGCGTCTCCTCGATCTGGCTCTCCAGCTCCTGCAGGCTGAAGGGCGCCTTGGCCCCGCTCAGGAAGTGTTTGGGGCTGGGGCCGGGAAGGCACATGGCCGTGCTGCTGAGGTGGCCGCTCATCTCGTCCAGCGCGGGTGGCACCACGAAGCCACCATCCACGGGCGGGCCGCCGGGGGCGAAGAGCAGGCCGGCCGCTCGCCACGCCGCCGGTTTGCGGCCGCGCCGGGGCCGGGCCATGCGGCAGCTCTGGCGCTTGATGTGGCGGTGCAGGTGGTCGGAACGCGTGAAACTCTTGTAGCAGAACTCGCACTGGTAGGGCCGGATGCCCGTGTGGATGCGCATGTGGTTCTTGAGGTCGTAGTTGTGCACGAACTTGGCGTTGCAGTGGATGCACAGGTACGGCCGCTCCCCCGTGTGCTTACGCATGTGGATTTTGAGCTTGTCCTGCCTGTAAGAGAGAAAATGGGCTCGGTCAGGTGGGGTGGGGAGGATGGGATGGGGTGTGGGTGGGATTGGTCTGGGTGTCGGGGCAGGAGAAGGTGGTGGGGAGATGGGGAGCTCATCCTGGGGCTCTCCCAGTGTGTGGATGGTGTTGTGGGATGATGTTCGCGTTCGCCTCCTCTCTCCTGGGCACCAAAACCCCACAGAGCCCTCCATGTCAGGAGTTTGTAGCACATCCCAGAGAGTGCATACAGGTAAAATTGGAGGGAAGAAAAAATCTGGAATAAACTAAAAAAAAAACGCAAAATGATTAADGCCAGAGAAGACCTGAGATCATCAGAACTAATTGTTACCCCAGCACCACCCAGGCCACCACTGACCCCTGTCCCCAAGTGCCACATCCACACGGCTTTTAAACCCCTCCAGGGATGGGGACTCCACCACTGCCCTGGGCAGCTGTGCCAGGGCTGGACAAGCCTTTCAGGGAAGAAGTTTTTCCAGATTTTCTAAGCTAAACCTCTCCTGGCACAACTTGAGGCTGTTCCTTCCCTCTTGTTCTGTCTCTTGTTCTGTCTCTTGTTCCTTGGGAGAAGAGCCTGACCCCCACCAGGCCACAACTGTGCCCTCCTTCTGTGTATTTTCAAAGAGCAAGTATCTCAATATGGGAATATATCTAAATATGTATCTAAACCTGGGAATATTCAATAAATAGAGCCCTATTCCACCCTGCAAATAAGGAAATTAGTTGGGATTCGAGAGCCTGAGAAAGTGGGACAACACTGCTTAAATTCAGCGGAGCCCATTTTCCTCTCCTTTTATTCTTGCAATGACCACACGGTGTCTCAGGAGCTTTCTTTTGGAGCAGAGGGTGATGCTGGAAGAGGTGCTGTCACTCTGTCCTTCCCTGCCAGGGTCTCCAAAGGCGGCACACATCCAGCCTCCCACACAGTTTGGAGGAGGTTTTTAAATCCATAGCGTAATTCCCATCCCAATGGCACTTAAAAAAATATATATGTCCTTTTTAAGGGGAACTTCTAAAAGCAAGAATATTTTCCCATGCTGGCAATCCAATCACTGTTTTTTTCCCCTGCAATAAATAAATGTTTTCTTCTGCAGCCAAAAAAAAAGGAAAAAAAAAACCAAAATCACAGCGAAAGTATATGATTATAAAAAGTGAAGATGACTGTGGCTCAAATGAGCTGAACACTGCTTCCTAAGTCACACCAGTGGAGTTCAARTAAAGACCAAAGTGAGAAAATTCATTTTTTTTTTCAAAAATTATTTCAGAATGAATCTTCCAATATACTAGTATTGAGGCTAAAACCACCTAGAACACGTGGAGTAATGTCATTATTAAATATATACTATATATTATATATTACAGATATAAAACTGTATGTCATATTTTAATATAAACAGTAAAGAATAGACAATTTATTATTGTTTTCAAACCTATTTATATTATAAATTACATTATTAATTATATAATATATAAGTATATATTATATACATTTAACTATATATTATGATATATCATAATTTAATTTATCTAATAAAAAACCCACAGAAAAATCTGTTTCTTCTGGCAAGACAAGCCCTCAAAACTTGTGAGGTGCTGCCTTTGAACTAATTTTTGCCACCCAGCCCGTGTGCACATTGGAACAGGTTCTGGTGCCATGGCCAGCAGCACAGAGGTGTTGGCCACCAATCCCTCACCAATCCCTCAGGATCCAGGATGCAAAGACAAGCAGGGGAGTCACTTCTCCACCAGATGATGCTTTACTGCCTTGGAGAAACCGATCCCAGCCTGGTACTGCACTCACAGATTTTTTAGGTGGATATTACAAAAAAAGGCTCCTCTCRTTCCCTGTGCCAAGCTCGGGGCAACTTCACGCTGCGGCATTTTTAAAGCTGGTGCTACCCGAAGGTTTTCACAGTGTGAAATTTCCCCTGAAATTTCCAGGGTGCATTTCCCCTGGAGGGGCTGGAATCGGTGCTCAGCAGCAGCAGACAAAGCAGCAGCCRGGAGAATTTCACCCAGGATGGAAAATCGCAGCAAAGTGGCGTGYGGACGGACGGATGGACGCGGGGGCTGGCGTTGCAAAGCGGTGGGAAATGTTAATAAAAAGCAGAGCTGCTGGCCCCACCTGTAATTTAATTTAAACCTCTATATGTAATGTTTAACCTAGCAGGATCGCTTTCCCTAATAAACACGCCGCGTGCCAGGACTGTGCAATGTAAATACAGCAAAGCTCTTTTCAGGCTATTATCCATCTCCGGCAGCAGACGGGGGAAACCCAATCCTCCTGGCCCCGGCAGCTTTTCCAGGGAATGCAGGAGAGTTTTGTGGCTCTACCTGGAGCCCCTCAGGRGCTGGGGGGCTGAGGTGSTCCGTGGTGCAGCACCCCAGGGAGATGTGGCAYGGGGAACACCGGGTTTGTGAGCCGGGAGCCAGGCTGGCAGCTCTCTCCGACAAAGATCCGCGCTCTGTGTGTGTGAATAACCTTAATGCAATTGCATTAGGAGAGCGATTAGGGCTCTGCGAGCTGTCACAACACAAATAATAGGAACAAATAATGTTAACCTTTCCGGCTGGAACAGTATCTCCTTGAGCACTCTGGGGCTGTCTTGGTGGAAAAGCTGAAATATTTGCAGCTTTCCCCGGCGTTCTAGCAGGATAAAACGGCAGGCTAGAAGCTGAGCAGCCTTTGTTTAAGGAAAAAAATTAATGAGCTATTAAATGAAGTCCTGCTTCCGGTGATCAGATGTCCCTGGCAGAGGGAGTGGCAGGTCCAGGTGCTTGTGGGGTCCTTGCCAGGGGATGTGAGGTCCCACTGATGTGAYGGGGAAGGGATCTCATGGGAAAACTGGGGGGCTCCTCACCCAGGAAAATATATTTTCTCTGTTTCTCCAGCAGATTTTCTCCTCCACAGTTCTTCAAATGCAAAAATAATGCAAAGGACTGATTSATAGTGAAATCCCTTTCGGGAACCCCTGCTTCCCTGCACTCTCTCTCCCAGGAGACCCCCAAAGGGACCATCTGAGCTTGCCTCTCCCTGGTGAAGGCACCATAGGTGCCAGTCCGATGCTGTCAGGAAGCACGGGACTCCTCCCCAGGAGCAGAACACACAGTGCAAGTGGCAGCACTGAGRAAATCCCGGTAGAAATCTCTTTCTACATCTCAATCACTTCACTTTGCTTAAAAATACACTTTTTTTCCTAAAGCAGAGCTCTCGCATCAGAATAATGATGAAAGCAGCTAAACCCACCCCCCCAAACAAAACCAATTAGCTGCATGCTATTCAAAATCCTTCCAAATACATTTAAAAACCAATCAGTATTTTAAGATCTGCTCTTTGCTCAGGGTGTTAAAGCACCCAGAAGACCGTCTGGCACCCAGCTCTGCACAGGGTGACCCACGCAAACAGCCACATTTTCCCAAGGGATGTTGGGGGACTGCACTGCTGGGTCAGTCCCAGTTTTGGGATTTTTCCCCCTGGGTAAAGCCCCTACCCCTGTGCCCTGTATTTGGAAACTGCTGAGCACATGGGGAATGTCACAACTGTCAGGTTTAGTCCTGCATCAGCAATGGGCCATGCTAGACCAGCTCTGTGCAGGGTTTTTAACCTCCACCACGCTGACAAAACCAGTCTGGATCAGGGGTCAGCACCAGCATCGCCCTGTGCCTCAGTTTCCCCAAACTAAGTGAACAACGCTGCCCTTCCTGTAAAGGACATTTGGAGCCCTCTGGGAGGGCTCAGCTCTGTTATTCCCATTACAGGGAGGGTGTCAGTGATGGATCTAGCCAGGCTATTTCCTCATCAGTAATTAGCACCTGCAGGAACACACACGAGAGAGCGACAGGGACCACAGGATGGGACCGGCCCAGACCCCACCACGCTCACGGGGCCAAACCCACCCCGCAGAGACAACAGCCCAGCGCTAACCTGGGGATGCAGCACCAGCAGGAGACAGATCCACATTCCTGCAGGCAGGAATTATCACCATGCAGTGGCCTTTCCCCTGCAAATACCAGGGTGAGCTGGCTCACGTCGCACATGCCCGCCCGAGGCRCGACGCTCCCCGCATTGTAATACGGTGTCTGCTGCGTTAATGGAGGGGAGCATGGAAATTTATTTTCAGGTCAAATTCTCATCATCTGCATATCTTCCATTCGATTATTATCACAGGGACAGGAGAAGAAAAGACAGGCTGAATGCAGGAGCACCCCAGGTGTCCGGCCATTGTCAGAATCTCGCCTCTGCCTACTGTGCAGATTATTTTCCTCTGGTTTTCTCGCCCCAGCTTAATAGGGCTCTCTCTCTCTCACATGCAGCCAGGAGCTGAAATACCATGCTCTTGTCAGAAAGCTTTATTATTATGGTAAAGATTGTTCTCATTAGATATTAATTATACTCAGCAAGAGCAGGTCCAGGAATCTATTTGTCTCTGCTCACCGATTAAATCTGCCCAGCTTTGCAGAGCACKGTTTCAGGCTGGAACATTAGGTTTGCGCAGCCAAATCTGACTTGGCGAGAGAAACTGTGGCTGCCCCATCCCTGGAAGTGCTCAAGGGCAGGYTGGACAGGGCTTGGAGCAGCCTGAGAGAGTGGAAGGTGTCCCTGCCCCCCATCAGGGGGTGGAACTGGATGAACTCTAAAGTCCTTTCCAACCCGAACCATTCCATGATTTTATGAGTCCAACTGTTCCCCCAGCACCACCAAGGGCACTAAACCAGGTCCCCAGGTGTCACATCTACACATCTTTTAAATCCCTCAAGAGAGAGGACTCCACCACTGCCCTGGGCAGACTGTCAGTGTTTTGCGTGGAGAAATTGTTCCCAATCTCCAATCCAAACCTGCCCTGGTGAAGCTTGAGGATGTTTCCCTTTGTCCTGTCATTTGTTACTGTGGAGAGGAGGCTGAGACCCCAAATGCACTCCTTACACATAATAATTAGGGCTGCTYCAGCCCCAGAAAGCCCAGATACTGTCATGTCCAAACTTGGGCATGTGCAACTTGGTTGTGGTCTACACTGATGCCAAAATGTGCAAACCCAAACTAATTACATCCTGTGACTAAATGGCCCTCCCAGCTCAATGCATCTCCCAGCACATTGGAGATGAAGCCTCCTTGGCTGTTTGACCATCTGTTTTCCAGCTCACTCTGGTCCTGCTGTGGTGAACTATGGTGGGGTTGAAAATATCTTGTTACTTATTTAAGCTTTTGTCCAGCAAGAGGATGGATCCAGTGAGTTGTGGATGTCATCCACAACCCACAAAAATCAGTAGGTTTATTTTCTTCCTCCACCCTCCCTTCCTCCCTTTTTATTTCTTTTTTTTTTTTTCCAAAGGGACGGAGATCATGCCCTGCTTTCTTCCCTACTTTTGTTTTGGTGAAAAAAAAAAAAACCCAACGTGTAGCCGAGAAATCAGTCCCAGGTCATGATGTCCCTTCAGGCACCACCCCACACCCCACAAATGGCAGAGGTGACCAACACACACCTGGTGAAGCGAACCTCACAGATATTGCACATATAGGGCTTCTCCCCCGTGTGGGTCCTCATGTGCCTGGGCAGCTTGCCGGCTCCCATGATGACTTTGTTACAGATGGGGCATTGCTGGGATGCCTTGGGCTTTATTTTCCTCTCCTCCTCCAGGGGCCACGGGGGAAAAACTCCTCCGAACTGGGTAGCACTTAAGAAATTGAGATAAGCGCTATAGTCRGTCTCTGCCTTAATGTGCCCTAAGGGAGCTGCTGGGGTGTTGGCAAACATGTCCTTGAAGAAGTCATTAGGGAAAGGAGGCGGAGGCAGGTCTTCCTTCTCCTCCTCTTCCTTGATCTTCCTCTTTTTGATCACCAGATCCAAGGGGCCGCTGTCCACTTGTGGCTCCTCGAGCTGGGAGAAGGAGCTGAAGTCGCCGTTCCACAGATGGGGGAAGAAGCTGGGGGTGAAAGGAGACAGAGCTGGCCTTCTTTCTGGGATGTTTGCCTTAGGGTACAAGTTTTCACTCAGCAGGGACTCGATGGAGAAGTCTCGTATCATGCCCAAGTGTCCAGAGGAGTTACTGGCTGGGAAGTGATTTGGAAAATCTTTAGGTGCTTCTGTGTAAGCTTCTTCGGTGAGATCGGACTCGGAAGGGCTTTGGTGGCAGCTGACTTCTTGTACGTCGGTTAGGTTCTCCCGATTGACAAAATCTTCCACTTCCTCCTCCTCCTCTTCCTCCTCATCTTCATCTTCGTCTTCATCATCGTCGTCATCCTCTTTGTCATCCTCATCCTCACCTCATCCTCATCCCTCATCCCCCACTTCCTCCTCCTCCTCTTCCTCCTCATCTTCATCTTCRTCTTCATCATCRTCRTCRTCCTCTTTGTCATCCTCCTCCTCGGCCTCCCTGTCAGGCTCCATGATTTCAAGGCATACGTTGATGATGCTCTGGATCTCCAGCATCTTGGCGGCGCTGAGGATGTGCTTGACGTTTGAGGTGGTGATGGTGAGGGTTGAGGTGTAGGCGAACTCGAGGATGGCAGAAAGTGCTTCAGGCTTGACAAAGTCAATCTCGTAAACATAGGGCTGGTCTGTTAAAGTGCCGGTAGTGAAGAGTTTTTTGAAGTACTTGCTGCAGGCGGCCAGGACGGAGCGGTGGGTGCGGTACTCCTGGTCCTGCACGATGAGGATGACATCGCAGAGGAGCCCGTCGTGCCGCTGCTCGTTCAAACCACACAGGACCTCGCTGCTGTGGTTCGGGAATGGRATCCCGATAAGATCTTCAATGCCATTGGCCATATTCTCATTTAGTGCCCTGGGACAAAGCACAGAGAGCAGAGTGTTAGCAGCATTCACAATGGATAATGCCAAAAYAACGCTGCCTTCCCCCGGTGTCCTTCTCTGCCTCAGCTGCCATCAGCTCCTGCCTGCACCATCTCACTGCATCCCTAGACCACCTTCAACYCCTTCCAGATCCTCTGTGACTGAACCTCTGCTTGTCTCTGTCTCCTTCTTTGTCCTCATCCTTCACGATCCCCACCCTGTTCACCTTTTCATAACCACCACAAGCTCCCTCTTCACTTTCACAACCCTCCCCCAGGAACCTTGTGCAATGACTCCCTCCCCATCACGTTTCCTCTGCATCCTCCTGGAGCCAACATTGTTCCAGGCACATGCTGGATTTGCCCTGCCAGGAGCTACGTGGGGAAAGTGTGATGCTCTATTGCTTCACGCTGCCGAGAGCCAGCACCTACACTGCTTGAACAAGACRAGCTGGGGAGCGCCCATCCCATCTACGTGGTTGTTTTTGGGACTGTCACAACTGGACATGCCACACAGGAGGGTCACAGAATCCTGCTGCAGGATCCTTGTGGATCTTCAGCTCTGCTGCTTCATGCCTGGAAGCTGTGGCATGTCACCTCACATGGGAACAAGGAATGTCTTCCCGAGCAACCTGGGAATGGGGAGGCAGCAAGGATTTGTGCCACAGTGTGCCTGAACACTCAGAGGAAGGCAACCAGGTAGCAAGGACCTGGCCAGACACACAGTGTGGTCTGCCATCTCTTCCCATGAGCTGAGCATTCTTCACTCCCAATCCTGCTTGGACTTCAGCACGGTATCAAAATGCCCAGTGCATCTGGCACATCTTCCCCTGCTAGAGCAGCTTTAGCTTCAAAGGAAAACTCGGAAGCAAAGAGCCCACACCCAAGAGGAAAACCTGATTTTTTTTCTTTTTTTTTGGCCATTTTTTAATCTGTAAGATATTTCCTCTTTCACATGGCTCCAGCAGTCCTTCCACATGAGAAATCCCAGGAAAGGAAAGCGATTTCCTCCAGCAGGCGACGAATACATTAATCCCCTCGCAGACAGAATACATCAAACAGACAGAATAACTTTGAATACACTAACCCTTGGAAACCCCCAGGACACAGAGCATGTGTTCGTGCAGTGTCACCTCCACCAGCCCCAGCCCTGCTGCAGGTAGACACTGAGTTCACAGCCCAGGGACAGAGCAGTTAATCTCCAGGAGAACTCGGGGCACATGAAAGTAAAACCGCAGCCCCACTCCATCCCCTTCGCAAGGCTGACACCACCAGGCAGCTTCCCAATCTCACCCTCTGCAGCTCTGTCAGGTTCCCAGTTCCACCCCACACCACCTCTGCATCTCTCCCTGAATCCATTGCCGTGTCCTGGGTGTTCCTTGCTCGGTTTCTGTGCTGATTCCAAGCCTCCTTCCCACCAGTGGGTTCCAGGTTTACTTCAGATGGCTCCCACCTCCCAGCTGCCTGGTCTGACGGAGGCTGTCCATGAAAACCTTTGCTCCACCTTGGCCAGCAAGACAGAAGCCCTTGGGGCAGCCTGGGGGGCCCGTAGAGGGGATCAGACTCTGCAGGAAATGTTCCCGTGGGAAAAGGAACGCTGTCTCCCTTCTCCTCCCTCCCCAGGGAGACCTCGCAGGTATCTCCCCCACACCTATCCAGCACTGCCAAAAACGGGCGAGTGGGAGCCACAGGGGTGGGGACAGCTGCCTGTGGTCACTGCAGCCTCATGGGGTAGCCCCAGCCATGGGGAGCCCTCTCCAGCACCCCACATGGGCAGAGCAGGGGAGAGGAACCACGGACTGCACTGAGCTCCAGCCACCGACACTGTCCGTGTAGGGTGGGTGCTCCAGCCCCACGTCCCGTGGCATGCCCATTACCTCCACGCTAATTACCTCTGTTGTCTGAAACAAATTGATTCATTACAGTGTGCTGTGCTTAACTGTGTTAACCAGCAACGCTGCTCTGCGATCCCGACCAGCTCCGTATCAAATCCTCCTTGAAAATCGCCGATAAATGACAGTAAATCCAATACCTTCTCCAAGTGGAGTKCAAGATAATAAATAACCCCTGAGCCAGGGAGGAAAAGACAGCTTCCTTTCTAGGGTTTTGTATCCYGAATAATAAGCATGAGCAATTAAATTTCTATTGCTGTTTTCATCATCCACTCGTTTATTTTTTGTTTGGAAGGAGCCTGAGTGTTAMAGGAGCTCCTTGCGTGAAGGAACGTGTCTTCCTATTTTGATCCTTCACTGCCAGATCACCCTAAGTGCCAAAAATCAGAACAGCAGAATATTAGACTACCCTGAGAAATGTTTTTATAGAAGGTTTTTTTTTCTGGACACTAAGCTTCATTCTCCCTAATTAGTGGATTATTCACTCAACAGCACGAAAAATTAGAACTGGGAAAATGGGGTGTGATTATATATATACAGTTGCATATAATTTATAAGCATAAAACATTTTAAAAAATATTGTGGTTTCGATGGTAATTAGCTGCTTTTCCTTTCTCATCCCCCCCTGGCCCTCCTGAGATGTGGCTCTGTTAACTGCAGCGTTTAGGCAAGCTGATAACTTTACAGGATGCTGGCAAAATTGAAGGTGATTCATGTCATTTAAACTGGGGGTGAGGGGGGAGAGGGAGAGAAACAGCCCATTCATTTGCATACATTTGCATTTTTTAAACTCGCAGGGTGGTTTGACAGCTCCGGAGCTCAGCGAGCTTGAGAAATGACCTTATGGTTCCCATGCCCCCGGGGAGGTTGATGGCCAGAGGCTGGAAGTGTGCTGAGGCTGACGCTTTCCTTCCTTCCCCTCYCTCCTCTCCCTCCTCCTGCGCTCCCCCCTTCCCCTCCCCAAGCCAAGGGTGGGGTCCTCAATAATAACAGGTTTAAAAATAGCATCTGATGGTGACAAATGTCACCAGAGCATGCACACACATACACACACACACATGCGAATGCTGAGCAGACGACACGGAGTTAAGCAGAAAAATCCCGTTTTCATAATAGAAAATTACAGCATTGTTAAAATAAACTGGAGGTAGATGGTGGAAAGGGTGGAGGGACACTTAAAATAAACGTATTCTGCAAATGACGCTGTGAAACGTTGCATTTATGGCTGTGTTAAAACTCATTCTTTACTTTCTTGACAGGAAAAGCCCCACTTATAAAAAAGGTGGGATACTGGATCAATCCCCCCCCACACCTTCTCCAACAGATTTAGACACCTGAAGCTGCAACAGCAAAAAAAGAGGGGCTGGGGGAGCTAAGCTTTGCCCCCTTTTTGGGTGAAAAACTYCAGATACAACCAAGGACTACACCAATATCATAAACCACCCGCAGTGTGCTTTCTCTGAGTGACCCAAAACTCATCCAGGCACTCTGCTGCTCAGAAACCCCTTCTATTTATTATTATTTTTCAAAGTCCTTTTTGTTCCAATCTCCTTCAGCATAACACTGATGGATTTCAGCGTATGTAAAATTGAAATATCAGAGAGAGAGGCAAAATGCTGGTTTTAGCACTATGATAAGTAAAAACCAGCCGTACACTCAATAGATTATAAAGATATATGCACAGAAAATAGATAAAGCAACCTGGTATTGCCTCTGTTTGTTTGCAGGGATGGAAATGGTGTCCCCTTCCCATCCACTGCATCCACAGGGACAGYGCTCCACAGCCTGAGTCTTGGCCGGGAGATGGCAATTTTGGCTTTTAATTGTGTGTTGGCATGTAACATAATTGCTGTAACACGCAGCGTTTCAATATTTCAATGCTCTAATATTTTTATATATTAATATTCYGGCGCATTAATATTTTATTATTTGTATATTTTAGATATTTATAATTCYGCATTAATATTGTATATATTCGCACTTTATGTGTTTTTATTTCGTATTTTGATGTTTGATTTTCTGAGCACCTCCCCTCAAAATGTGCATTGCTCGGCCTTCTCTTTGCTGTGATTTCCCCTCAGGAAAGTGCTGGCTACTGACTGTGCTTCTCTGCTTTGCCTGCAGTCACTGTGGGTGCCCCCCAAAGATTCGGGGGTGCCCCRGGGCACGCAGGGGATGCAGAGCAGCTGCCCCCCCATGCCAGGCTCATTCTGCATTCAGCGCAGCAGGGGAAGGAGCCCGAGGCTCTGCCTGATCTCTGCCTGCTCCTGGTGTCAAAATGTCATTTTTCCAGGCAAAACAAGGAGTCTCCAGCTCCTCCCTTCACCCAGYCTGTGTGTGGAGAGGGATTCAGAGAGCAAGGCCAGGAGCAAGGCTTGGGGTTGAACATCCCTGACCACTGCCCCTTGTCCCAGCCAGCTCCCGAGCATCCGTCCTTGCTGACAAAAAACCCCTGGAGGAATTCCAACTTTACCCCTGAAGCATGAGACCACCCAGCAAAGCATCCCAGGGGTGTCAGAACAGCCTTCAGGGTGCTGAGCACGCCAGGTCACCCCAGGCTGCTGACCCTGTCAGGAGAGGGAGTCAGAGAACCACASAATGAATCTCAGAATGGTTTGGGATGGAAGAGACCTTAGAGCTCGTCTYCTTCCACCCCCTGCCATGGGCAGGGACACCTTCCACTRTCCCASRWTGCTYCAAGCCCCGTCCAACCCGGCCTTGGGCACTTCCAGGGATGGGAGAGTCAGCAGGAGATCTCAACACCTTTCCTCACCCTGATTTATTTTCTCCCACCACCTCCCCAGCCCAGAGCACTCAGCACCCTGAGGCTCAGATGCTTTGGCTCTGCTGCTTTGCTGCCTGCACCTCTTTCCCAATCCCTGCTCCAGGCTGCAGCAGCCAGGGTGGGCTGGCTGCTCTCCCTCTGCATCCACCCATGGCCCCGTCTGTGCAGACCTGCCTGCTACATCCATCACCTCATAAATACATGTGGGTTATGTTTTTTTCTTCCCCAGTTTTATTTGTACCTCTTCATAATGAGGCAATTAAGATGTGCATGTGAGATCACCGTAATCTGTCAAAATATTGCAACTATTTTCAAT